ATTAACAGTTTGGAGCACATTTTCGGTTCATTTGAAGAAAAAATATTATCGTTAGCTGTCAAATTTGGGTCCCACATGAAGGTCAAAAAAGTGGCAACCTTTTTATTTTCAATGGCTATATTTTTCAATTTTTTGGATTAAAAATGTGTCTCAAACAGGAGTTTAGTGCCTATATGGCTAGTCATTCTAGTAAAGAGATGCACTTAGACATATGAAAGGGTATGTACACCGACTTAATGCAATTATTAGAAATAATCGAGACCAAAAAGCTATGAGAACAATTAAATTGTATTATTCTAAAGTTGTATAATATATTGGTCTAAGGAAATATTTGGCACGATTTTTGAAAAGTCAAAAGTTTATTTTGAGATTAAAAAGTTGAATTTGAACATATATTTGGATAGTTTTTTAAAAGTATTTCGTCTGATTAAAAGAATTTTTAAAGAAAAATAACATAAAATAGCTTTCTCATTATGCTTTTCTACAAGAAGTAGAAACCTTGCTCAACGAGTAATAAATTACAACCAACAAATCTCTATATAAAACCTTCCTCGTTAAATTTGAATTCGGAATAACTTTGCCCTACATTTGAAAAGGCAAATATAAAGTTCAAGGATAATTTTCACTCTATATCATGCCGACAAGTATTATAAAGTAGATCACCAAACACTTTTCAAAATCCTTTACATAGTAGGTCCACCACATGAGATAACATCCACTTAACTGAATCCTTCCCTATGGACCCCTATCTAAAAAATACACTATAAACTAAGAAATTTGACTTGCTTACCACTATTCATGAATTATACTTTGTTAAATTGAGTATTTAAATTTTAATTTTGTCGAAATTTCGACGTATATAAAAAGTATTATCACGATACCAAATTTATGTGATCTGTAGTTAAAATTTTGACAAATGAATCAATTTAATTTAACGTGTAATTCATGAAGAAGAGCTCTAAACACAATAAGTGCTTGTTCGTCGTAATTTTTAAATTTACAAGCCAGATATCATTTTTAACCATATATTTTATATATTTTTTATGACTTTTATTCACTTTTTATAGATACCCTTTATAAATTGTGTAGCTCATAATCTACAAAACATGATGCATAAATAAATTAAACATTTACACATACAAAAAAAAAAAAAAGTGTAAACATATATACCACCTTTCTTAGTTTCTTACAATGTAAGTTGAAAAGGTTGGATAATATCAAGACAACGACATTAACAATTATTCTACTTTTGTTATTCTTACTTTTGTTTGTTATGGCTTTTGTTTCGCTTTTATTTTACCTAGCATATTCGTACGAAAATAGAGATTTATAATACTTGACTAGGCATCGATGTTCCTTTCGTAAGGGTTCTAAACCGACTCGAGGCTATGAAAGCACATCGAATCGGTCACACAATATGTAGAAATGTAACACTTGAAAATAAGACTAGCAACTTGATTTCTTCATTTTTCTCTCTCCGTAGATCATAAGATCGCCACATTAAATGTTCTCTAACGTTGTGTTTAATTGTAAGGGTGGAAAATGGGTGGAAAAAAAAATGTTTTATAGGGAAAAGATTTGTCTAAAAAATGTTTTGTAGGGAAAAT